CCACTTCATCTGTATTTGGAGAGGATTTGTCTTTTTTTAAATGTTGAAAGACGTTCTTACTTTCATTCTGGAATGAACACTGATGTGTGTGTGTGTGTGTGTGTGTGTGTGTCTCAGATCTGGGAGTACGATGACGTCAACAACACGGCAGACCCACAGACGGCAGCCGAGTCCAGTTTCTACTCTCCTTACGAGCTCCAGAACTTCATCTGGTCGGACCTGAACGCCACCGCCAACCAGTCAGGTCACGTGATCACGCTGTGCGGCCGCGAGAACACCGAGAGCTTCGCCAACGGCTCCCTCTGCCTGAGAGTAAGCACAACTGCAGCACACGCACACACACACACACACGCACACACACAACATGGACTTGCTTTGAAATTATGTGTGTTGTGAAAAGCTCTATACAAATAAACATGAACTGAATATGGAGATGATTCATGTGTAAGAAAAATGATGTGGACGTTGAAGATCTCAAAGCTGAAGTGTCTGACTGTGGTAAAGCACAGCTTGGGTTCACCGGCGTCAGAACGAACCCAGAACACCCAGATCTCAAACCCTTCATCCTGTCACAGTTCAACACTCTGTGGTCCTTCTGTGGCCTGTTCAGACTTTATTGTGTAGGGTTGGGTGTTAGATTCAGATGCTCCCATTCGATTCGATTTCTATTCACAAGCTCTCAATATGATTCGATTTTGATTCACAAGCTCTCAATGCGATTTGTTTTCTATTCTAAAGCTCAATGTGATTCAATTTCTATTCACAAGCTCTCATTGCGATTCGATTTCTATTCTAAAGCTCAATGTGATTCAATTTCTATTCACAAGCTCTCATTGCGATTCGATTTCTATTCTAAAGGTCAATGTGATAAAGCTCTCAATATGATTCGATTTCTATTCACAAGCTCTCAATGTGATTCGATTTTGATTCACAAGCTCTCAATGCAATTCGATTTCTATTCTAAAGCTCAATGTGATTTGATTTCTATTTACAAGCTCTCAATGCGATTCGATTTCTATTCTAAAGCTCAATGTGATTTGATTTCTATTTACAAGCTCTCAATGCGATTCGATTTCTATTCTAAAGCTCAATGTGATAAAGCTCTCAATATGATTCGATTTCTATTCACAAGCTCTCAATGTGATTCGATTTTGATTCACAAGCTCTCAATGCAATTCGATTTCTATTCTAAAGCTCAATGTGATTTGATTTCTATTTACAAGCTCTCAATGCGATTCGATTTCTATTCTAAAGCTCAATGTGATTTGATTTCTATTTACAAGCTCTCAATGCGATTCGATTTCTATTCTAAAGCTCAATGTGATTCGATTTCTATTCACAAGCTCTCATTGCGATTCGATTTGTATTTTTAAAGCTCAATGCGATTCGATTTCTATTCTAAAGCTCAATGTGATTCGATTTCTATTCACAAGCTCTCGTTGCGATTCGATTTCTATTCTAAAGCTCAATGGGATTCAATTTTGATTCACAAGCTCTCAATGCGTTTGGATTTCTATTCAAAAACTCAATTCGATTCGATTTCGATTCTAAATTCAATTTTGATTCTCGATTTGACTCAATGAATATAGATTTAATACAAATCCTATATTTATAAAAAGAACAGTGCACATAAGTTTACAAGTGGTTAATTAATAAAAAGAAATTAAATTTATATTAAACTCTTTTATTTTAGGAACACATGTGCACATTAAAGCAGAACCCAACTCTATATTTCAAATGCGTACGATGAATCGACAGGATTTTGATACGAGATGAAAATTGATGCTGTTTTTTAACGAGTCTGGACAGTGATGAATGATGATCAAACTCAGGATCAGATTATATTATGTTTAAGATATAAACACATAAAGTCTCCCAGCATTCTCTGTAACAGTGGAGGAGAACTAATACTGGCTTTTGGGTGATGGATAGATAAAAATGGAAAAAAAAATCAATTCAATCTATTTTGAATCGTCCACATTTAAAAAAATGATTAACCTAAAAATGATGCGATGAACCCAAATAGTGAAGAAACGATATAACTCCGCCTCCTTCATGTCTGTGATGATTAAGGCATTTGGAGGATGAGCTCATTCTAACACACATATCCTGGAGTGTAATCTGCTGCAGTCTCTCACATGTGTGTGTGTGTGTGTGTGTTCTCCTCAGCTGTCGCTGTTCGAGTCCGCGGGCCGCGAGGGGGCGTGGCCGAGTCTCCTGCATAACTCTAACTCCTCCCAGCTGCAGGTGTGGCTGGACGGGGCGGCGCCGCGGGGGAACCGCTCTCGCTTCGCTCTGGAGTTCCAGTCGGTCGGGGACGCCGGCTTCCAGGGGCGGGTGGACGTGCGCAGCTCCATAGATGATGAATACACTCCTTCCATCTTCAAGGTGTGTTCCCCGTACAACAACTCGATGCTTTAGTTCTGCTCTACACCTCCTGTAATGCAGCGCCTGTTATACTTCCCCATGTTCATCAGTGTTGAGTGTGTAATGTGTGATGATGAGAAAGCTCCAGTTCTTCAGTAAACTCCTGAAACGCCTCCACCGTAGTCTTGAGTTTCTTCCGGGAACACGTCACAATATTCCTCATTATAATAATAATTTCATCACGTTTGAGCCTAATCGGTTTTTTCCTCCATATTCTCGCTTTTGGAGCAAGAACACGTGTGGGCGGGGCTTGATTGTGCCTGTGAGGAATTGATTGGATGGTTGTGGTTTGCTATTGGCTGAACTCATGTGAGTGACAGGTTATAGCCACGCCCACATCATCAGAAAAGAGACTATGCTACATGAATTTAACACAATAATGATGTGCAGGATAAATGATTAATAATAAACCGTGACAGATGTTGACGTGTCTCCGGTCAGGTGTTTGATTGGCTGTCGCTGCCGCTGAACTCCAGCCGTGTGTGGGGTTTCTCGCAGTGGAAGCCCGTGGCGTACCGTAAGCCGGCGCCGGTGTTCGAGGACGCGACGCCCTGCAGGAGTTCTCCTCTGGTGTCCGTGAGCCACGTCCCCCCGTCTGCGCTGGTCCAGGCCTACTTCACACACCAGCCCCACACACACGGCCTCAACATCAGCTTCGGGGTCGACAAGGACCCGGTGTTCTACAGCGACACCAGATACATCAGCTGGTGAGAGCACAACTGCATTTAATTCATCATTCACCTTTTACATATACTGGCTGTGTGTGTCTGTTAGGAAATAATGGTAGTTTTTTTGTTAAATATTAAATAAATATTAAATTGTTATTTTATTGAGTGTAATTGTCTTTGATAAAAATATATATTTTTAATTGTTTTTTTTATATTTGATTTGAAGATATTAAAAGTATTATGTATTAAATAAATATTAATTTATTTTATTTATTGTAATTACTTTTTTACACATACTTGTCGATTGGTATTATTAAAGGAATAATAAAATGTAAAAAAATATTACAAAATTAATAGTTTAAAATATATATAAATATTAAAATACTGTATAACAATTACTATAATTAATATTTTCTGTTGTTATTTATTTTGGTTTTATAATAGACTTTTCTTTGTTTTTACCATACTTGCCGATTATTATCTGTTATTAAATTATAATTTAAAAAAAAAAAAAATAGTTTAACAACAAGGTTTTAGAATATTGCTTTTGAATATTTTAATTTAAAAAAATTAAATACATTTACATTGTTATTTTATTGATTGTAATTTTCTATTGGTTCTTTTTTTATTCATCATTTATTTATTTATTTTTACGCATACATGCCAACTAGTAGCTGTTGGGAAATGTTACAAAAATTACAAATATTTTAACATTTTTAATGAATTTTTAAATATTTGAGGATATAAAAATACTACATATTGAATAAATATTAAATCTTATTCCATGAGTGATCTCATTTTACACTAATTGCAACCACTATAAAGCACATATTGTCACTATTTTTTTAGTAAATGCGTCTAGTTTGTTTCCAATGAGTAAAAACACAGCCCTTGTCAGTCAAACAGATAGTCCCGCCCCCGAACTCGAATGATTGGTCGAGTCAGAAGTTGTCAAACTTCCAATGAGTGAATTACAGAGACTCTGAACAGCAGCCAACAGCTTTACAACACATGAAATGATCTGTACCTGATATTACACACAGTATTTTGAGTATGAGAGTGTGTGTGAACAGTGTTTGTGTGTACTCTCTCCAGGACTGTGTTAATGGGCATGGGCGAACCTCCAGCCGATTCCTTCTCCACGTTGATCATCATCATCATCGCCGTGGGTCTCGGCACTCCGCTGGCCATCATCATCGTGGGCGGAGTGTTTGTGTGTGTCCGCAAGAGGATGACACAGTCCTCAGTCTACGAGCCAATCAACTGAGACGTCAGGGTACAAGCCCCGCCCCAATGCACACACCAGCCAATCAGTGCTGAGGTCACGGACCCCTGATTGGACGATTAGAATGATCACATGCACGTTACTGATAATGAGGAGGAGCATTTGCAGACTTCCTCTGGAAGAAGAAGAATTACGAATGTTTTGCACCTTTATACTGAAAACTGGAAAAAATCGAGTGATTATTTGATATTGTTCATTTTTTTAGACATGATGCTTATTTGTTCTGCCCCATAATAATAATAATAATAATCCTGCGTGATGCATATTCAGTTATGTGCCTGATTTTAAAACATGAATTTCTCTTTAATGCTAATATACACGCAGAGACACGAGCGAGTGAGTCTCTCAGGGATCAGGTGTGTGTGTGTGTGTGTGTGTGTGTGTGTGTTTAGGAGAACGCCGCCGGTTTGATGCACATTTGCATTCTGTAAATATGATTTGCACCGCATTTAAAAATACAATGAAATCTTTCTGTTTTTGTTACCGCCAGTTACTAATAAAAATGTAAATATGGATTTAAAACTGCATCCGTTTCTCTCTCTACATAAGCTCCTCCCCCTCGACTCTGATTGGATGAAGTTTCAAACACCTGTCAATCAAACACTGATGCGTTACAATCACACATCTAGAGCATCATTTATTCATAAACATTTGAGGACAAACATTAGTAAACATGAGGAATATGGCACAAATCCACAGTTATAATCACAGGATGACATAAACAACTGCATTTCTCAAATATTACACAAATATTATCCAACATATCCGGGTTACAAATAACAACTTTTAGGAGATTTTTCATGATTATTAAACGCATATCCCTGTTATTTATTTTTACATTAGTTATTAGAAAGATATTTTTAAAACAATAACAAACATTTGGAGGGTAATGAAATAATGTGAGACATCATAACGGCCGTAAAACAAGTGTCACTTTCCAAAAGCACAATTATTAATGAGATCATACAGTAAGGTGCATTAAAGCACTGTATAGTGCATTCTTCATAAAGGCTGTGTGTGATGTGTTACGGTGTGTTTGTGCTTCTTAGATTTCAGGCTTTGTGAGCTTCACTCGATCCTGAAAGAGCACAGCACAGGTTCAGCAGTTAAACCGGTTTCTTCATGACACCATTGAGTTTCTGGCCATTCATCAGCGGTTCCCAGTGCAGGAGCGAGTGTGTGCCGAGGGATTCAGGACGGACAATCAGTCGTCGTTCTCCAGTCACGTTCATCTTTATTTAAAGGGATTGTTCTGAATGCTGAACTCTGGGTTCACCCCCACCATCGCAGTCTCGGGGGCGGGGCCGTGGTGGGAGGAGCCACGTCAAACACCGCCTCCGGCCCGCCCACAGAGCCAATGAAATACAGGTTTGCTCCCAGAAGGACGAGCAGCGGCAGGAAGGAGAGCGCGTGTCCGAACGCACGTACACTGCTGCCGAACGCCACACACACCCAGTAGATCATCCTGAGGACGACAACACACACAACATTCAGTGAGTGACAAACACACAACCCAACGAGAACGCCACACACACCCAGTAGATCATCCTGAGGATCAACAAAACATCAATGAGCAAGAACACACAGAAACGCCTCCGAGCGCTTATTTCAGAATGCTTTACGATTGATCTTGTTCGGTTTGTATTTCTGTAATTAGATGAAAATTAGTACATGCTCATGTACTTTTTGAATATAAAATGTAATATTCGGTCACTTACAAATTCGGTTGAACATGTTTCCCCTCCCCAAATATGTTAACGTAACGTAATTTTAGAGTATTGATTGAAATAATGTAAATGTTACATTTAAAAAAACTTCGATTTAAATGTAACTGTTCGAATGATGTGAATGTAAAATTTAAAAGTAACTTTTTTATTTATTTAAACAACAGTATTCTGATGTAAATGCTACATTTAAAAATCTCAAAAGTAACACTTTTCCCAATTTAAAGGTACCAGTATTAAATATTTTAAATGGTACATTTGCCAATTTAAACATAAAAGTATTGCAAAAATGTAAATGCTACATTTAAAAGCCTTAAAAGTAACATTTTACAATATAAATGTAACACTATTTAAATAATGTAAATGTTACATTTAAAATTCTTAAAAGTAACACGTTTCAAATTTAAAAGTAACAGCATTCCACTAATGTAAATGTTCAATTTAAAAGTCTAAGAGTAACCTCCCCGACACACACACACACACACACACCTGCCGAACACGAAGACGACGGTGAGCAGCGGCACCAGTTTGAGCAGGTCCGGTCGGGCGTAGGTCGCCATGACAGCGAGCTGGAGGAAGAAGAGCAGGGAAAGGTGGAGCGAGTCTCGAACGAAGAGTCCGTGAACTTTGACCTCGCGATTCTCCCACGTCCCGTCGAACAGAGGCTTCAGCGTCCCGAACCTTAGCCGGGACACACCCTGGACCAGCACACCTAACACACACACACACACACCGCTCGTCACTGAACACTCACTGGTGCATATATACAGTCAGACCAGAAACTATTCACACATAAGAGATATCATTTTTATATTTTCTGTAAGTGCTAATGCTCTTTTTACACACACACTGAACATCATGAAGCATTGCTTGGTCACTGGTTGAGCTAAACTGGTATTATCTAATTGTGTAGTTAAATTTATCAGATATTCAACATAATTCATGTGTGAGAGTCCAACAGAAGGACGGACAAAACCAGTCAAATATTAAACACTGATCTGAGAACTGAGTTCTGCTCATGTTTATCACCATTAGCTAAACTATAGCCAATAAACTGATCATGTGATCTGAATATATTTAGGTTTGACTGTATGATATATGTGTTGTATAGATCCTCACCCAGCACAATGGGGGCGCTGGCGAAGAACGCACAGCGCAGTGTGTAGAGCAGCCTGAGGGGGGTGCTGTCGAGCGCAGGGGCGTCGAAGGGGAGGAGCTTGTAACCGGCCCACGTTAGTAACGGGAACATGAGCGCGGCAGCCGTTACACACACACACAACCGCATAACCTCCACACAACTGCTGTCTGAGACACACACACACAGAAATCATGTTAAAACAAGCAAACAAGTGTGCTTTATACAAAACAGTATCCCACAATTCAATGCACTCTACTTGACCCAGGGTTATTATCATTAGCTAAAAATAAACCATATAAAAATTATTTGTTACTTGAAATAAAAATAAATGTTAATTGAAATAATAATCTAAATAATGCATTTAAAAATGTCGTGAACTGAAATCATACAAAATATAAAAAACATGTTTGAAAAAAACATTTTTGTTATTCGAATTAAAGATACGTTTTAATTGAAATATTAATATAAAAACGTATCTCTAAAATCATATCTAGCAACCGACATCTTTTCTCATGCAATTGCAACTTTATAACTTTTTATAAACGTTATAACGTTTAATTGTGAGATTAAAAAAAAGTCAGAATTACGAGAAAAAAAAAAATCTTTGTTAAAAAAAAAAATGTTAAAATAACATAACGAATATTTGATTACAATATTTTTGAACATGCCCATATCTACACGTCGAGCGCATCATTTACCTTCAGGTTTGTCGATCTGGTGGATCCAGGCCGGCTGGAAGTGCTGAGGAGCGCTGGGGGTGAAGTTCTGCTCATCCATCGGGATCTTCTCCATCGGGATCTCCTGCATCGGGATCTCTGGGATCTGTGTGTGTTCCCGTCCCGTCGACTGCAGGATCATCACGTTGGGTGTGAACGCTTGCACCAGCTGATCTTCCTCCTCCTCCTCATCGTCAGCATCGTTCTCCTCCGCCTCCATCCAGGCGTCCGGTTCTTCCAGCTGTCCTGCGCTCTCCGTCCTGCTGTCGGATCCGTCGGGTCGGGTCGGGTCGGCCATCAGAGGTTTGATCTCAGGACTGAAGATCAGCACCTCCGTCATCTTAGTGTGTGTGTGTGTGTGTGTTTATGAGCTGAACTGTTCTGGAATCATCTCTGAAACACAAAGTTCACCATGGATATAAAGGATGCACATTTTCACTGACAGACTCCTCAACACACAGAGAGAGAGAGAGAGAGAGAGAGAGAGAGATATTTCAAACATGCCTGTTGCCATTCCCTTATAATTATTTGTGAAATTTAGCATTTTCTGAGTAAAAACCATTTTAATATATTCCTACAGCAGATTTTGACATTATCAGTCGATCATATTTACCCGGATTAGGTTTCTCTCTTCCTACAAATGTTTTTTAAAATCAATTATTATTATTATTAGCCAATGTAAACAAGCATCTGTATCAGTAATATCATTAATCATCAGCATTAGTTCAACACAAAGTTCATGAAGAGCTGGTTTATCAGAAACACATTCCTCGTGCATTAGTCAATACAATGTGTCTGTGTTAGTCAGAACTTCACACACACACACACACACACACTCAATAATTCACTGTGAAGTGTTAGTTACTCTGATTCACTCTTATGTCCACATTATTACACTAACAGAAACTGCACTTCATTGAATACATTCACATAAAATGAAAAGGAAATACAAAATAAAGAGAAATGACATCTCAACCAGTGAGAAAAATATGATCATAATTCTTTAGAAACGTGTCCTTCTTATCAATTAGTTAACGAATTTATTCTTCAGTTCTTATCAGTTATCAGTGAGTTTAAGAGATTTTACAATGAGAGAGAAAGACACATTACATGAATAGTAGACTAACCATGAGTGAGTAATGCAGTTCCACCAGTTTCTCCTGAACACACACAGCAGACATTACCACAACACTGACCAACACGCATTCACGGGTTCATTTCGAGAGAATACAACAACAACTACAACAACAACAACAACAACAACAAACTGTTCCTAATACGCATAATAAAAGGAAATTCAGATCTAAAATAAACTCACTCACATGAAACTTGTCTGGGAACGAAAGTAAAATGATAGTGTTTCTTACCTTACACTCCAGAAGAGCCCTATGAATGTATTATATTATAAGTGATAATAACAGATGAGGAATGAGTGAGAATCGACCGAGATCGCGGTGATCGGGCACGCGCACAGGTGCGACGGTCAGTCCACAGGTTTCTCCGGCGTCACGTGACTCTCGGCGACGCCCACATTACATACATCTGTATTTAAAATTTTACATGGGGTTTAGCCAACTTAAAATTTTGCCACATTTAATTAATTGTTCGTGTAAAAAAAGGCAGATTTCTAATGTAGGAAGTTTAGCTGATAAAAGTCATTGTTTAGTGCACTATATAATATAGATTAAACCTGTTTTTTACTAAAGCTCATCGGTACAGTATTTGTGTAAATTAGCATATGATTATAAAACATTTTAAGATACAGGAAATCCATACTTTTAAGAAACATAACCTGAGTGCTGTTGTTTACTAGCGCTACACATGTGTGCGAGTCAGGCGCAGTGAAACCAAACTACCCCGCAGCTGATCGACAGCTCCCTCGGCCAATCACAACGCTGCATTCGCCGTGACAGCCAATCAGGATGGAGGATTGCCAGAGGGACGCGTGTGCACACACGGAACTTCGTCTGAACCTGCGACAGTGTGTTTTCTGAGCTTATTATGAGAAATATCATGTTCACTTTCATTATAATGTGTTAATATTTAAAGGGCAACATGAGCGGTATGTGCAGGGAGGTAGTTACACTCCAGCTGGGACATTATTCCAACTTTGTCGGGACACATTGGTGGAATTTACAGGTGAGGATGTTTAATAACGGATACATTACAATTACATTAAGCTGAAGAAACCTGACATCACTAAGAAAAGAAATTAAACTAAATTCTACCTCTTTTTGAAAGAGATTACCTATTAATTTATGATTTTTACAGCAATAACTGTAGTAAGTACACTTAAAAAAAGTGGTGTGATATTGTGCATTGTCATGGTTTTGTACTATGTATGACCATGTAATACCTTGACGTTCTTTGAAATGCCATGTAAATATGTTAATTATTCAGTACCCTGGTTTAAAGGTTTCAACACTTTTTGTTTTTTTGGTTGAAAAACTATCTTCACATCCTGATAGCGATCTATAGTAGACGACGTGGTCTAAATATTAAAAGATTAAAATGAAATATTTCTTGGAGGAGGCGTGGCTCTGAAACCTTTAAAGTCACCATGAAATCAAAATGGAATTTTCTTAATTTTTATAGAGTATTTTATTATTTATTATAAATGATTTATCCGTGCAGATTATTTTTTTTTATTAAAGTCCCCCTGTGGTGTAAATCCAGCGTTTAATGTTTTGTGTGTGTGTGGTGTTTTTAACAGGCTTTAACACACACCATGTGTAAAACTGCTTAAAACTGCAGTGAACCAAAGACAGTCTCAAAAACACGCTTTGAAATCGCTGGTGTTTCTGACGTCACAAACCACCTTGTAACTAATCCGATCAACGTGTGAGTGATTGATTGGAGGCGGGTCTCATTTGCATATTCATAGAACCGCGCATACTAAATGAGGCAAGGGTGTCGAGTTACAGTCAAGATATTTTAAGGCATGAAGACATTTTTGCATGTCATTTTGGTGAGTTTTAAAGGATAACATGATCGACTACAGGGGGACTTTAAAATTATGACCTCTTCATACCATGTTATAGCCTTCTGAAATAGTCTCTCAGTAAAGCATGTGTGTGTGTGTGCGTGTGTGTGTAGGATGCGGGTCTGGTTTATGACGCGGTGGAGCCGGCGGGTGAGCTTCAGAGTGACGTGATGTTCAGAGAGGGTCAAACGCTGGGTGGTCATGTGACATACACACCTCGACTCATCGCCATGGACCTCAAAGGTACCGGAGTCCATCCTGATTACTGGAACAAAGCAGAAATATAAATTATGGAAGCTTGTTTCCAACGCAGAATAAAAAATAAATTAGGTAATTGTGACTTTTTTTCTCATAATTACGTGATATAGTCACAATTGTGATATACACTCTGAAAATCGTGATATATAGTCACAATTGTGATATACACTCTGAAAATCGTGATATATAGTCACAATTGTGTGTTATATAGTCAGAATTGCGTGATATAGTCACAATTTTGTTATACAGTCAGAATTGCGTTATATAAAGTCGCAATTGTGTGATATAGTCACAATTGTGTGTTATATAATCAGAATTGCGTGATATAGTCACAATTGTGTTATATAGTCAGAAATGCGTTATATAAAGTCGCAATTGTGTGATATATAGTCACAATTGTGTGTTATATAATCAGAATTGCATGATATAGTCACAATTGTGTGTAATACAGTCAGAATTACATGATATATTGTCGCAATTGTGTTATATAGTCAGAATTACGTGATATAGTCACAATTGTGCTTTACATTTAGAATTGTGTTATATAGTCAGAATTACGTGATATAGTCACAATTGTGCTTTACATTTAGAATTGTGTTATATAGTCAGAATTACGTGATATATAGTCGCAATTGTAGCCTGGCTGCGCCCTCCTACGCACTTCCGCTCAATTTCATTTTACTTCAGTACTATGTGGAAATGAAATGAACTAAAGTCTGGTTGAACCAGGCTATCGCAATTGTGCTTTACATTTAGAATTGTGTTATATAGTCAGAATTATGTGATATATAGTAACAATTGCTAGTTATAAAGTCAGAATTGGAAGATGTAAACTCGCAGTTGTGACAAGAAAGTCACAATTATCTTTTAAAATATTTATTCTGTGGCGGAAACAAGCTTCCATTTTAAATGAATCCGACATAAGTCATGAAAATATACAGATACATTGTCAATTATAAAATTAATAAGCAAAAGCACAATATTTAATTGCTTTGTGATAATTATATCACTGAAATTAATTCATTAATTATATTTTTGTGTTTTGATGATGTCATTAGCTTTGCTTCCATCCGCCTGTTTTAATGCACATTTTGGGATATCACATAAAAACCGCTGGATGGAAACGCAAATACCCATAATGCTGGTTTGTGTAATGTGTGTGTGTTGTGGATATGTTCAGGAAGTCTGCAGACGCTGAGGAAGCAGGGCAGTCTGTACGACACGGAGAACGAGAACACCACCTCCACATGGTAAAACACACGTCTGGACGGTTCTGTGTGTGTGTGTTCATGCGCTGATGTGTGGTTTATGGATTCTGATTAAAGATGAATTTGTTTCTCTCAGGGAAGGAGAGATTATGACCCACAAAGAAAGTCCTGCCACCAAAAACCCTTTCCTTCAGGATCTGGACAATATAGATGTGAGTGTGTTAATGTGACTCAGCAGGGGGTTTAAAAGCATGTAATATCTGAGTGACACTTCTCTGTGTGTGTGTGTGTGTGTGTGTGTAGATGGGAGGTTTACCAGCAGATCCAGGTTTGACGTGTCCTTCCTCTGCGGTGGATCGCAGCTCAGGTGTGTGTCCTCTCGAAATGAAACCCTGTTCAAAGGCTTGGTTTATGTTTCGGCTCTTATTATGAATTTATGCATTTGGCAGATGCTTTTATCCAAAGTGAGCGTATTATGATCACTTCAGTTTATGCTTTCCCTGGGAATCAAACCCATGATGCATGATTATTATCATTAGCTAAAACCATTAAAAAACATGTACATTTTTTTTGAAACATTTTTTACTTGAAACAAAATAAATGCTTATTTAAAAAACAAAAGGAAAAAAACTTATAAAAAATAAAAATGTTCCTAAGGCAACATTTCTCATTTTAGTTTAGTTTAATTTGATGTACTAAAATAACTAAATACTAAATATAATTAATAAAAACTATATTGGCATATTTAATAAAAATTTTAATCTAATAAAAATGACAAAAACACAAAAAAATTACTAAAGCATTAACTACAATTATAGTGAAAACAGGAAATGTAAAAATAAAATACAATTCTTACTTGAAGTTCTAAAATAGCTTAAGCTAATACAATTAATAAAAACTAATTAGACATATTTAATATTTATGTCTTTAACTTGAAGTACTTAAATAAAAAGTAAAGTAACTAAAAAAAAGTAAAAAGTAACTAAAACTCATAAATAAAATTAATAAAAACTACATTTAAAAGAAATTAAAATAACTAATAAAGAAAGAAAAACAAAATTTCTATTAACATTAATTAGAATTACAGTAAAAACAGAAAATGTAAAAATAAAATCAAATTCAGACTTGAAATACTAAAATCAATAAAATGAATACAAAACTTATTAGACATATTATTTAAAAAAAAATATAAAAGTAATAAAGATAACAAACACAACAACATACTAAAACAAAAATTAGAGTGAAAACAGAAAATATAATAAAATCTAATTCAAAATATGAACATCATCTATAAACAAAAATGAATGCTACTAAAATAACTGGCTTTGTGTTTCTCTGCAGGAATGAAAAATTAAAGCGTGTGTTATTTTTAAGGAAAGCGTTAAAATATAACAACCCCTTTCATCATCAATCCCTCTTATTTCTTTCCATCCATCCAAAAATTAAGTCTCATCCAATCCTTCATTTTCTGTTCCCATTCAATATCCCGCTTCGCCTAATCTCATCACAAAAGCAAAGGGGTGAAAATGTCCATGATTTGTTCTCGATTGCGCTAACACTCACTGTGTGTTGCAGGAGCGAGCGTTGCCATGGCGACGGTGAACAGCAGTCTGGAGCGCGTGCAGAAGTCCTATAGGCTGGAGGGGAGCGTGAGGGTGTGGTCAGACTTCCTGAGGATACACCTCCACCCGCGCACCGTCACCGTCATCAACCAGTACAACCATGACGGGTGAGTCCCTCACTGACGGACGCCATTTGTATGTTCGCTATTTAGCTTAGCATAATTAATTTAAATTAGCCTTATTGTTATTTTTTAATTTTCTGTAATGAATTATTTAATGATTCACTTACAAAGACTTAGCGTGTTTCATGATCCGAATTAATTCAATGACAAATGCCTTTATAACAGTCAGTTGTCGCCCCCTACTGGTGAAATGGTGTAATGATACAATCTTTATTTTAATCAGGTTTCTTTCAAAAGGCGATTCACTCTATGTTGATCACTACCGTAGACATCAGTGTTTATATCCCAACTATAAACACACTTCTGTGGTTA